GTCTGAATAAGAGGTTTTTTTTTGCCTGCTAGAGCACACTCTGACCATGAACATGGTGGGTTGCAAATGCTGAGGCATTGCTGTCTTCCAGAAGCAGTCCTCAACTGATGACTCATGGGAATTGGTATATAAATACTAAGGGGCTTGCTTAATGATAGAATTCTCAGACAGGCATTCCACATCATTTACCAGCATTCCAAAGTGGGATTAAACTCCAGTTCACTAGAATCGCCCCTTGCTTGGCATTGTGCTCTTTGTCTGTATTCCCATCCCTGTCTTGCTCCCTTACTCCTTTTCTTTTTTTTTTTCTTTTTTTCTTTATTTTATTTCATTTTTTAAATTTATATCCAAGTTAGTTAGCATATAGTGCAACAATGATTTCAGGGGTAGTTTCCTTAATGCCCCTTACCCATTTAGCCCATCCCCCCCACACCCTCTCCAGTTACCCTCTGTTTGTTCTCCATATTTATGAGTCTCTTCTGTTTTGTCCCCCTCCCTTTTTTAAAAAAATTTTTCCCCTTCCCTTATGTTCATCTGTTTTGTCTCTTAAAGACCTCATATAAGTCAAGTCATATGATTTTTGTCTTTCTATGACTAATTTTGCTTACCATAATACCCTCTAGTTCCATTCATGTTGCAATTGGCAAGAATTCATTTTTTTGGATTGCCAAGTAATACTCCATAGTATGTATATACCACATCTTCTTTATCCATTCATCCATTGATGTATATTTGGGCTCTTTCCATGCTTTGCCTATTGTAGATAGTGCTGCTATAAACATAGGGGTGCATGTGTCCCTTCGAAACAGCATACCTGTATCCCTGGGATGAATTCCTAGTAGTGTAATTGCTGGGTCATAGGGTAGTTCTATTTTTAATTTTTTGAGGAACCTCCATACTGTTTTCCAGAGTGGCTGCACCGGTTTGCATTCCACCAACAATGCAAAAGAGATCATCTTTCTCCACATCCTCACCAACATCTGTTGTTGCCTGAGTTGTTAACGTTAGCTGTTCTGACAGGTGTGAGGAGGTATCTCATTGTGGTTTTGATTTGTGTTTCCCTGGTGATGAGTGAGGTTGAGCATCTTTTCATACGTCAGTTGGCCATCTGGATGTCTTCTTTGGAAAAATGTCTGTTCATGTCTTCTGCCCATTTCTTCACTGGATTGTTTGTTTTTTGGGTGTTGATTTTGATAAGTTCTTTAGAGATTTTGGTTACTAGCCCTTTATCTGATAAGTCGTTTGCAAATATCTTCTCCCATTCTGTTGGTTGCCTTTTAGTTTTGCTGATTGTTTCCTTTGCTGTGCAGAATATTTTATTTTGATGAGGTCCCAGTAGCTCATTTTTGCTTTTGTTTCCCTTGCCTCCAGAGACATGGTGAGTAAGAAGCTGCTGTGGCCAAGGTCAAAGAGGTTTTTGCCTGCTTTCTCCTCGAGGATTCAGATGGCTTCATGTCTTACATTTAGGTCTTTCATCCATTTTGAGTTTATTTTTGTGTATGGTGTAAGAAAGTGGTCCAGGTTCATTCTTCTGCATGTCGCAGTTCAGTGTTCCCAGCACCACTTGCTGCAAAGACTGTCTTTATTTCATTGGATATTCTTTCCTGCTTTGTCAAAGATCAGTTGTCCATACGTTTGTGAGTCAATTTCTGGGTCCTCTCTTCTGTTCCATTGATCTGAGTGTCTGTTTTTGTGCCACCGTTACTCCTTTTCTACGGTGTTCCTGAGAGCACACCCCAGATATGCTCATACTTGGATCCTTATTTCAGTGACTTCTGGGAAAACCCAGACTAAGACAGTCACCGTAATTGGCAGCTCATCACATGACCCAAATTCAGATGAAGCAGGATGTAGAAGGAAGTGGCGGTTCTGAAGACACAAAAATAGTAGCTGTCCATTAAAAAAGATACAGTGTGCGCCCCCCCCCCCCCACAGCAAACATTGAGAGTTTATAGTAAGTGCTCCCACCAGACCAGCATTTGGGCACAAAACTTGTCTGGCCTGACGTGCCGAGATGAAGTTGACCTCCCTAGCAGGTGGCTCTGGAGAGGAAGATGTCAGATGATCTTGGGGTCCACACCATAACAAACGCTATGCCTTATGCAGCCCTATTTCCATTATTTTGTTATCTTGAGCCTTCCGGACCCAGCTGAATCACAGCCAAAATGCTATTATGGCAGAAGGATACACCCACTTTCTCACATGCCAGCAGAGGCTGGGCGACGTGGCATATGTTTGGTCACATCCCCATTATGCATTTGGGGTTGTGTGCTTGTGCAGTGATAAAAATGTTCTTATCTCTGTGTCTCAGCTGTGGTATCCCTGCCTCTATTGGTTTCTAAAGGCAAGCATTCCATATACGTCATGGGGTATAACGTGTAGAGAAGTCATGGGTTGACTTGTCTAGAAGCAGCACTTCAGAGAGGGGGTTCAGGTGTATAATACTCTGAGGGAGTGCTCTTCAACACACACACACACACACACACACACACACACGCACACACGCACGCACGCACGCTCGCCCTTCTCAGGTTGTGAGGGAAACAAAATAGGTAAGATGAAGGAGTCTCACACGGATGGGGGTGTCAATCTCAGGTAAAGTCTGGACCAGGGTTAGTCAAATTATGTCCCTTGAATCGAATCTAGCAGCTACCTGTTTTGATAAGTTAAGTTTTATTGACATATAGCCACACCCATTATTTGACATAATGTCTGTGTCTGCTTTCTTGATACAAGGGTGGAGTTGAGAGTATTCCTAATGAGACTGTGTGGCCCATAAAGACTGAATTATTTACAGTTTTGTCCCTTTACCCAAAAAAATGCTGTCCCCTGTTCCAAACCCTGGGAGCTCTGGAGCATCCATTGGTCCATAAAGCTATCCACACCTTGAGGCAAGGGGCTGGTCTGCGCACCTTAGTGTCAGCCAGCCAGACCCTGGTGGCCAGCCACCTCAGGTGTTGAGGGTGAGGTTCATGAAGCACCCGAAACCCAGGGTGGTGGTGGTTCCTGAGAATAACTTAGCGGGTGCTAGGGCCAGCTCTGAGCTGTGAGTCCCCTCCAGAGCAGCTGGGAAATGGGCACATATGCCAGGTAAGGGGGGTCTTTCAAAGCAGCACCAGCATCCACCGCCATGTTTAGCTGGATCTGCACGAGTGCTTCATGTACCTGGAGAGAATCTCCACTTCCTGCCTGAAACTGAGCAATAACCCCCCTCTTCTGGACTCCGTGCCTCATCTGAGTTTGCCCCCTCCCTCCCACTGCTCTCAGGGTGACACAGAAACCCTTCACAAGGCATCGTGAGCCCTGCAGGCCTGTTCAGCCCCACCTCCTCCCTCTCCCCTCTTCTGCACGTGCCCGGCACATGCTTCAACTGCCCTCCACCTTCTCCCACATTTAACTCACATCTGGATTTCTGGGTCTCAGCTCAGAGAATATTCCTTCGGAGCCAACTTCTTGAACCTCTCCAGGTGAATTCCATTTCCTCTACGTAGTCAATATTCTGCTCATGTGTCTTTACATATTTTTTTTCTGTCTTTGCAAATTACAACACGCACAGATTTTCTTTACCAAAACTGCTGTATTATTTGCATTACTTTCTCATTTTCTTATTCCCTCCTTAACAGTATAAGCCCCAAGGAACTATCCAGGTTGACAGGTGTAGAGTTAACACATCTTTCTATAAGATTTTTTTTTAAGTTTATTTATTTATTTTGAGAGAGACAGAGACAGTGCGAGTGTGGGATGGGCAAAAAGAGGGAGAGAGAGAGAATCCCAAGTTGTCAGCGCAGAGCCTGATACAGGGCTTGAACTCGTGAAACTGTGAGATCATGACCTGAGCTGAAGCCAAGAGCTGGACTTAACTGGCTGAGCCACCCTGGTGCCCCAGAGTTTAACTCGTTTTAAACACTTTTTTTTTTAAGCTGCATGATATCCCATTATATGCATGTACAGATTGTGTATGTAATATGAATGTACAATAATTTAATAATTCCCATATGTATTTTTTTTTTGAGAAAGATAAGAGATAAAGTAGGGGAGAGGGGCAGAGGGAGAGAGAGGGAGGGAAGGAGAATCTTAAGCAGGGTCCATACTCTAAGCAGAGTCCAACTCAGGGCTCGATCCCATGACCCTGGGATCATGAGCTGAGCTGAAATCAAGAGTCACATGGCCCATCCAGGTGCCCCCAAGAATTCCTGTATTTTTAGGAGCTCATGTTGTTTGTGTGTGTGCATATATTTCACCTCATAGACAATGGTGCAGAGAACATCTCTGAACAAGTATCCATGTATTCTGATGTCATTTCTGTAGGCTCATTCCCTAGAAGTGGTATTGTTTGGTCAAAATATGCACTCACTTTACATTCTAAGACACACTGTCATGTTCCTTTCCGCAAATATGGCAAATTGCGTGCCCGCCATGAGTTGATGAGACCACACAACTTCCCACATCTTTATGACTATCGGTGTACCTCCCCCCTCTTACTCAGTGTTTGCCAATCTCTTGGCGAAGGAACGGCTTCTCGTCATTGTTCTGACTTGCATTTCCTTGACTGTTACTGAAGTTAATCATCTGTATGTAGTTTATTTTTTAATGTTTCTTCATTTTTGAGCGAGAGCACGAGCTTGGGGGAGGGGCAGACAGAGAGGGGGACAGAGAATCCGAAGCGGGCTCTGTGAGCCCGATGTGGGGCTCCAACTCACGAACCGTGAGAGCGTGACCTGAGCCAAAGTTGGACGTTCAACCAGCTGAGCCACCCGGGCACCCCTATAGTTTTAATTACAGAAATAGCCCCTGCAATGGTAGGGACCTTAACACATCCGTTTCAGGGGGAGATGAAAAGTTCTAGGCACACCCTTTGCCCTTTATTCACCCATCCCCTGCTGCTCTCGCTCTCGTGTCCCCAGGAGGGTGGGCGTTTGGGACCCTGCGAGGGTGGGTTGCTTTGCATGGGAGGAAGGTCCCGCCCCGTCTGTGACCACCCCCTGTTATCTTGCTTGCAGATGCTACGCAGATGAACAACGCGGTGCCCACCTCCCCTTTGCTCCAGCAGATGGGCCATCCGCACTCGTACCCCAGCCTGGGCCAGATCTCTAATCCCTACGAGCAGCAGCCGCCGGGCAAAGAGCTCAACAAATATGCCTCCCTGAAGGCGGTTGGTAAGTACTGTTCTCTTTCTCCCCTGCTTTTCTGTACTTTTCTCTCCCCACCCCCCAACTGGTTTTTCTGCTCCTCTCTTTCGTTCTACTTCTTGTTTTCTTTTCCTTCTTCTCGTCTCCTGAACTCTGTGTCTCTGTCTGTCCATCTCTTCCTCTATCTCCCTCTCTGTCTCTCTCACACATATTCTTGATGTCTCTCCCTGGGGCCCAGGTTACTGTGAAACAGTTGCTTTCCCTATGACTAGTCACATGGGGCAGGGTGGGGGGGTGGCGAGGGACACGTGTGGGGGCTGTTTCCCGGGACAGAGGGCGCCTGGAGGCTTATTTGGACCCACAGACACCTCAGCCCCTTCGTCGTTCACCATCTGCCCTAGTGAATCCCCAGGATACAGAATCCAGGGCACCCGGTGTCCGAGTGTCTTGCCCTATAGGAGGTAGCATCCATCACCCCGCAGTCACCCCGTCTCTGTGAAGTCAGTAAGTGGAACGCTTCTGCTCTTCCGGATTGGGCACGCAGCCTGGAGCTTGGGCTAAGTTCTGATCAAGTTCTTATCGATTGCACGGGACATTTTATACATCCTGCCTCTCTTTCTCACAGCGGTCCAAAGAGGAGGGCACAATTATTATCCCAGTTTTCAGATCAGGAAACTAAGACTCAAGGAGTCTCCTTTACCTTGGTCCAAATCAAGCAGCCTGTGGATTTTTATTACTCCAGAGCCTATCCTCCCGCTGCTAGCTTCCCCTGGCCCTGCTCCTCCGTTAGTCCCTTTCCCCAGCTCACACATGAGGGAGCATCACATATGATGGTGTCCCGGGCTTCCGAACGAACCGTGTGGGCAGGAGTTCTATCGGATGGAAGCAGCAGCCACAGCCAAGTCACACTTTGGGCAGATGGACTCACAGGCCACCTGCTTGCTTTTATTATCAGCTACTTGTCTTCATTCTTTTCCTTGCAACCACGCCCCTCATCAGAGATGGGATGGGAGGTGTTTGCTGATTGATTCCTGTGTCTGATATCTTAATTCCATTACAAACGGACACCAGAAACCAAAGCCCAGACGCTGTGATGTGTCTGTGATGCTGGAGGTGACCATGGTCTCCAAACATCGGAGGCACAGAGCATCTTGGTGGCTCGGCAGAGGGCCAGGCACGTACTAGGAACTCCGCAAGCGTTTGAATCACAAATATCTTTAGGAATTCATGTCTCCCCGTCTCCTAGGGCTTCCAGATGGAGTCCCTCAAAGATGGGCAGACCAGATTTCTAACCCCAAGGGCGCAGGCTGAGCAGACTGACACAGGCTTTTCCAAATCCCAAGCCCTGCAAGAACTCATATACCAGTTCCTGTGTTGCATGTTGAGTTTCTGCACCAAACTCAGCCCTTATACACACCCCATGACCACAGATTCCCCCCATTCCAGATCGCGTGTTTGCCCAGCGTATGCATCCTGAGCGTGTTTAAGTAGACTCAAATATTGGGAGGAAGAGCTGCAGGCTGTTGCCTGGGAGAGAAGGAGTCAGGGCATCTACACCAATGTAGCTGTGGAAGCCTTCATACACTGTGTGGTGCCCTGCCCCTCCCCGCCCCCTTCCTGAGCCTTGCCTTTAGGTGACAAATGGCATCTGCCAGTTCCATTTGATTCTTCTTTTGGCATTAAAAAAAAAATCAACCCAGACATCCTTTTCCCTTTGAACTGGTTACATTCCCCTAAACAACTTATTTCTTCAGCTTAGGCCTGGTGTCTTGTCCCCCCTCCAAACCCAGTAGTTATTTGGGTGAATCATAGATGGATATTCCCACAATGCTCCTTGATTTTCCCCCCAGATTTGTACAGAGATCCTGCCCATAGCACATGTCTACAGTGCATTTAGAATTCCATTTCCAGTTTTGCCCTCCTTAAGTAACCCTTTCTTCCGTAAAGAACTTCCATAAAGTTCTGTAGTGTTTACTGAATGAATGTGCTTGTCTTTGGCATGAGTCCAATCATAGCTCAGTTGTAAGGAAGCACCCCTAATCTTCTAGAAAACTCTGAAGGATCTTACATAAAGAACCCTCCTCCATCCTGGATATGGTTGATGTGCCCCTCTTCTTTTCTGTCCTTCCTCTCTGCTTGTTGTGGGAGTTCACAGACTTTACCTGAGTCGCTGATGGTCTTGTGACTCTCCAGGGAGGAGCAAATTAAAGGACTGCCTGACCCAATTGGTTACCCACGTGTCCAGCATCTGCCTGCACAAATGAAATGCAGATCCTGGGCTAAGTGCTCTTCGAAAGGTTCTTTATTAAGGCATAATTCACACCATGATGTGTGTGCGGATGATGAAATGCATTTCATTAGCAAAATCATTACCACCCAGGAGAGAAGTTGTTTAAAATTTTTTTTCCTTTGAGAGTTCTGCAGCCTTCGATAAGCAGATGCATTTTCTAAAAATTCCTGGTAAAGAAGGAAGGACTTGGACAGCCTTTAGGGTTAACTGCCAGGTTCAAAAATACCCCTGGAAAATAAATTTCTCTTGGTGGCTTTAATATCCAGAACATGGGGTAGTTTCATGCAGTCACTGAAACTCTCTGACCTCAGCTTCTTCATGTGAAAAATGAGGAATGAAAAGCGAGGAAATTTTAAAATAGAAAATGAAACAATTCTACACATTCTAGTTATTAGAATACTGTGGGCCATTAAATATGTCCCATCCATTCACTGCCAACTCCAGAGAGAAAAGAGGTAACTGTTGGTAATTTTATTTTATTTTAATTTTATTTTATTTTATTTTATTTTATTTTATTTTATTTTATTTTATTTTATTTTATTTTATTTTATATTTTATTTTACTTTATTTGCTTGTTGAAATCACACTCATTAATGTTAAAAAATTTTTTTAGTGTTTATTTATTTTTGAGAAAGAGAGAGAGTGTGAAAGGAGGAGGGGCAGAGAGAGAGGGAGACACAGAATCCAAAGCAGGCTCCAGGCTCTGAGCCGTCAGCACAGAGCCTGATGCAGGGCTCGAACCTGCAAACCATGAGATCATGAGCCAAAGTCAGATGCTTGATTGACTGAGCCACCCAGGCACCCCAACACACTCATTGATGTTTAAAGAGAGCTCTTTTCTTTCTACAATTCAGGGATATAGAGTACACAATGTTCTCTGTTCCCAAGGGGTTCACTGCCCAAGTGTTAGCAAAAGATTAGCACACATTAGGGAAATGTTAGCAGCTAAACTTCATCAGATTTTGTACAAGGAGGTATGATGGGGTTGGATTATCATTTGTTTCATTCATTCATTCATTCATTCATTCATTCATTCATTCATTTTAGACATTTAATCCGGTGTCCCTTGATTATAGGTCCCATTGAAGCATGAACCAAGTCTGTCCCATTCATCAGTGCATCCCCAGCACCTAATACCATGCTGGGAACTTACAAGTGCTCCCAATAAGTTTTTGTAAATTTAGTGAATTAGAGCATATGGTGAGTACCACATCAAGTCAGGAGCATGAGATGATCAGCAACATGGTGGAACATGGCATGGCCTCTGCCGCTGGTCGGGACGGAGTTTAAGATCTCACTAGATATTTTCAGGCTCTTTCTGAAATAACTTAACCTCCTCAGGTCTCAGTTTCCCCCCTCTGTAAAATGGAGATAATAACAATACGGAGCTGATGGTTTGTGGGGTAGATTCAGTGATACATTGCACAGAATGTGCTTAGCCTGACATACAGTCAACCTCAGTAATACTGGAACATATTAAAGTCTCCAGACCAGAGTTGTTTGTTGGCCATATTTTTCCTCAGATCTCCAAGATATACTGATGCCTTGATTAACATGCAGTGGCTCAGGTGTCATTTTGAGGGAGGGAGAGTTTATTCCGGTTTGATGGGAAAGACATACAAGGAAGCTAACTCACACTGAGGATCTGATAAAACAAACAAGGAAGCAAAACAGCAAATGACGTTTTTGAGCCGTTCTAAGGACCAGCCGTCAGCCAAACCTGTTTACTGCCCCGTATCTCCTGAATGACGAAGATCCAGACATATGGCTACTACAATCCATTAAAAAAAGATTCCTAGTCTCCTCCAACTGACTCTCCTTCCTAAGTTACAACTGCGGATTTAAACGTTGTAGTTACATCCTCCACCAAGACGGAAGACAAAAAGTGTGTCTTGTGGTAGATTGAGTCGAAATGTAACCTGAAGTCTCCGTGAAGCACACGAGTTCCCTGGCTTGAGCCGCCCGTTTGATGGGTAGTTACGATGTGAAGAGCCCACTTTATGGTTCTTCATAGGCAATGTTGACAGGACAGAGGTGTTTGGGAAAATGTCCAGAAGGCTTACCTGCTGGTTCAGAGGGGGGTGGTTCCTGCCTCCAGAGCTGGAAAAAAGACCACACTTTCACGTAATTTCTGATGGACCTTGCATACAGAAAATTGACTACGCATCAGCATTTATCGCCTCTTGGCCCCATGTCCAGTTTTTTTCCTCTAGGCACGTAAGACTTAAACTACTGACCACATTGATTTTATTTTATTATTTTATAATTGTATCTACTTATTTATTTATTTAATATAATTTATTGTCAAGTTGGCTAACATACAGTGTATACAGTGTGCTCTTGGTTGTGGGAGTAGATTCCCATGATTTATCGCTTACATACAACACCCCGTGCTCATCCCAACACGTGCCCTCCTCAATGCCCATCCCCCACTTTCCCCTCTCCCCCACTCGCCCACCCTCATCAACCTCAGTTTGTGCTCTGTATTTAAGAGTCTCATATGGTTTGTCTCCCTCCCTCTCTGTTTGTAACTTTTTCCCCCTTCCCCTCCCCCATGGTCTTCTGTTAAGTTTCTCCAGCTCCACATATGAGTAATGAAGACATATGATATCTGTCTTTCTCTGCCTGACTTATGTCACTTAGCATAATACCCTCCAGTTCCATCCACATTGCTGCAGATGGCAGGATTTCATTCTTTCTCATTGACCTACATGCCCTTTAGATGCTTCATTGCAACCCTGGCTTCTCAGTGAGAGAAAGAGACAGGGCATACCAGCATTATTGATAAAGTGCCATGGTGCCTTCATTTTTACATTAAAATTTTATTAAGAAGATATCTTCTTTGTTGCTACTTGACAGACAAGGGGCTCTTGCCAGAATCCTGTTCCATTTTCCAATGGCACTGTTTAAAACCACAACAATGCACTTCAACATGTCAGGAATTTCCTCTTTCGTCTTGCTGTACGAGTCATGCGTGAGAAACCTACCTGATGCATGAGACCTCAGCCATGGATTGACCTCTACATGTTTAATTTTTTTTTTTTTTTAAGTTATGGCAAGAGGAGGGCTAACATCATTGAAGTCTCAAAACACTGTACCTCTGAGGGAGGTATTGTTCCCAATCTTTGGCAGATGAAATTAAGCAATTTTGGCAGCGTCTTCCAGTAAATGGCAGAGGCAAGAATCACATTCAGGATTACCTGATTCAGAATCCTGTGTTCTTTCCATGACATGATTCCATCTTCAAGAGGGCAATTTCTGGCATCAGAAGGCTATAACCAGACCAAAAAAAAAAAAAAAAACACAAACAACTGGGGGAGCACCTTCCCCTCTTTTTTGGAGGGAGGATTATTTATATTGAGTTATCTTTCTTTGTTTGAAGTTTAAAGTTTTCCCATGGTGCTGAGTATAATTGAGGTATAATATATTTAAGGTATACTGCAGATAAGGTAAAATTTACATGTAGTGAAATCTGCAGATCATAATTTTACAGTGGCATGATTGTTGAAAGACACATACTCTAGGATAACAAACATCCCAGTAAGGATAAGAAATATTTCATCACCCAGAAAGCTACCTCACGTTTGTTTCCTCTCACTGCCTTTGATTCATCCCCCTTTAATAAGTGTTGAAGTTTTTCCACCCAATAAATATTTATCTAATGTCAGGGGTAGTGGCACCAAGCATGTAGTGGGACCTTACGTGCATATTTGGAAGCCTGTGTGCCACCTGACTAAGTGTCCTCATTTTCAGTGGATTTATGAAAGAGAACTTGTTACCACCTTGCCAGAGCTAAGCCCTGCCTTAGGTGGGGATAGGGGTGACCATGGCATGGTTCCTGTCTTCAAGTGATGAACTTGGCTTAGGGGTAATGACCTGTTTGGCGTCCGTGACTCAGTGACTCAGGCAGTCTTGTGTCCACCCACACAGGAAGATTTGGGGCCACATCACTATTTCCAGATGTCAGTGAACCTGGGCGGGTATCACTTAATTTTAACTTCTTCACCCTCCTGTCCCTTCGTTTCCCCTCTGTTGTGAATAATGAGGGTGTTGAGTTCATATCGGCAGGGGGAATGTGGCAATCTGAGCATCCTTTGGCATGCCTACAAGGCCAACCAGAAATGTTTAAATGAGACCGGATCTGTGCTCTGTAATCTTTCACATCACACAGAATGTTCCCTGCAACTCCTCTCAGCTGGCAGCCTGATGTCTGTCTGGAAATTGTGCAAAAATGCTGAGAACTTGGGCTTTTCAGGTGGATTCTTAAGAAAGGAAAGGGGAGCCAATGGCACACACTGCTTGGTGAGGCCTCTGGCCAGTGGACCGAGGCTGCTGCACAGACACGTGAGCAGGTTTACCCCCCTTTGAGTAAAATCCAATCTTACAGAGAAAGTCTAACAAAGACAGGCTTAGGGTGTGGCTATTGCCCTTCTTGACATTCTTTACGCAAGAGGTTACCAGGGAGTTTTCTTAATAAAGTACCATCACCAGGGCTCATTCGGCACACCTGAAATGAAATTCAACTTAGAGAAACTGATTTCTAAACCAAATTCCAAGCATTATGTGATGCGTAAATAACAAACTTGAATCCTGTAGCATTTAGGTGAATTTCCCTCCCTTAGGAAAAGTGACTCACAGAGAAACTTAATTTGTTCGTTCGTTCATTCATTCATTCATTCATTCATTCAACAGTACTTTTCTTTTTTCTTTTTTCTTTTAATGTTTTTATTTTTGAGAGGGGGAGGGTCAGGGGAGGGACAGAGAGAGAGAGGGAGACAGAGGGTCCAAAGCAGGCTCCGTGCTGAGGGCAGAGAGCCCGATGTGGGGCTCGAACTCACAAACCCTGAGATCATGACCTGCACCAAAGTCGGACGCTTAACCGACTGAGCCACCCAGGCGCCCCATCAGTATTTTCATACACAGATTATGTGCATGGACAGTCCCTACCCCTTGGGGGCCTGCCACCCAGCCTGTAAAGTTGCAGTCACTGCAGAGCCTGGCCCAACCTTGGATTTCCCTCTAACTTTTTCAGGAGAGGGATTGCGTAAAACAGGATCCAAATGTATCTTGTCAACAAAGTGTTGTCATTAGCAAAAGTGACCTCATGCAACTCACATTCCCCTTTCTTTCTTAGAGGGTTGAGATTTAGAGCCAGATTCACTGCCTGAGAAATCTCTCTCTCCCTGACGTAACTGAAAACATCTAGGCCTTTTTCAAGGGACTTCTTCTGACCCTCTGTTGGGTGTTATCTTGATGCTGTAGAAGGAAGCGCCTACAGAATCACATTTGCCCGTTTGGTCTCTCGCCCTGTTCCTGGGGCCCCGGGGGCCTGCCCCCCCCCCCCCCCCCCCCCCCCCCCCCGCCTTAGAGGCTGCGGCTGGGGCCGGCAGCAGGTGAGGGCAGCGAACACGAGAAGCCGGCCAGCAGATCAGCATCTCTCGATTGTTATTTTTTTAGGAAGTTCTGATGGTGACTGGGCAGTGGCGACACTTAAGTCACCAAAAGGTACTGTACGGCTCTTTCTAGCTCTTTTGTCTAGGTCTTGTCACATTTGACATTAATCATTGAAAGCACAAAGTGTCCTGGTGTCTGTGTGTGACCCAGTGCCACACGTGTGTCCCCATTGAGTGGACCTGAAATCCATCTAAGTTCCAGCATGTAGGTGTTCGTGTGTGTGTGTGTGTGTGTGTGTGTGTGTGTGTGTGTGATGTATCTGTGCTCTGGGCTGTTGTTGAAGAATGTGCTACCCGCCCCCCTTCTCAACATTCATTGCCTGAAGGAAAATGTCCCTATCAGATACCATCCAGGTAAGACATCCAGGAAATGTTTTATTTTATTTTTTTTCAGAAAGCAACCCAAGCAAACTAGCAAAACACAAGGTGAATTAATGCAGGAGGGGAGAAAACACACCTTGTGAGGCAGAGATAAACACAGTCAGGTTCTTGGCTCCAAGTCTTGGGGATGATTTAGCCTTTTTGCTCTGTTCAGCTTTCCTGAGGCGGTCTGGGGAGAATCAGGAGTCCTTCACGTGGAGTCTGTGAGTTTAACCAGCTGGGTGGCTGGACCAGGAGGTAGCTAGCATCTCCTCACTCCCTACCATGTGCCAGACAGGGTGCTGGCCCTTTGCATCATGTTGTCACTAAATTCCCTGATGACCCAGCCGTGCAGGCAGTGTCCTTCCCCGTTAGCGATGAGGACACGGGCGTCTGAGGGAGGGTGTCTCGCTTACATCCACAGCTGCTAAGTGCTGGCATTGTAGTTTGGACCCGCATCCGTCTGACTCACATGCCTAGGTTATTTCCCACCTGAGTGATGGGAGTAGCTCTTTTCAGAACAGACGAGAAACTCTGTTCTCTTCTGCTCTCACTCCATTTGCTTTGTTGGATTTGGCGGTGGGGAGGATGTCACTGACCCAAGGCGGTGGAGGCAGAACTGTTCAGTGACCTTGGCCTGGGGAAATTAGAAGGCCTCACAGGGCTCTAGGCAGGATACTGGCAGTTCCATTTTTGCATTCTTGAACGATAGTTTGGTGTTCAAGTGGAGCTGGGATTAGGGGCAAATGGCCTGGAGGTAGCCCCCCCTCCCCCCTCCCCTCCTCCCCTCCTCCCCTGCTGCCCCGGGAGGCTTCTACGATTACCCAGGTGGGCAGTGGCCTGGGCCAGGTGCGTAGAGAACACAGAAGACAATGAAGTAGGAGACAAGGGACTGTAGAAGGTCATGAGTGTGTGCCTGTGAGCAGGAAGGAGGGAACAGTGGGCCCTCACTGGTTCTCACATTTCAGCTCCTTGAGCAGCATCAGCCTCCCCCAGAGGATTGTTAAAACCCATATCCCTGGGCTCCATCCTAGAGCTTCTGATTCACTGGGCTTTCGGCTGGACCCGAGGAGTTACACTGCCACCAGGTTCCCAGGGGATGCTGCTGGCCTGGGGACCACACTTTGAAAACCACCACAGTAGAGAAATCTTGCTGGGAACTAGCACCCTCTGGTTAGGTCTCTAAAGATCTTTCTGTGGGCTGAGGGTTCTGATGGGGGGAGTTTGACTAGGTCTCAGTGGCTCAGAAACAACCTGAGCTCTGGGGGGAGCACGGAAGGGAAGGGGATGCACTGTATTCCCATATCCACAGAGAGAGCCTTAGACCCATGAGTCTGCTAAGGATCCCTTGACTACACAGTTGTTGCCTTTAGAGAGGCAGATTTTTGGGTCTTGCATTAGGTAATAACTGTTTACATGTCAACATCCATTTTTAGAAAGGCAAACAATTTGGAACATGACAGACCTACTAATTTGAGGCATAAACTTTTTTTTTTCTCTCCCGTGTGAAAAACAAAGCCATTATGATTCCCGTGACAGCATTTAGAGGCAGTCAGCACCCCTGTCTTTATATCAGCTTATTGTTGTCTGATGCATTTAGGAAATATTTCAGGAAGCTGTTTTTCTACCCAAACTGGGCTAATTTCACCTGTCCTGTTAAATGCATCTTTATTTATCCTGCCTTGTCTTGGGGGTGGGGGTGGGGTGGGGGGAAGGGGTCTCAGAGTTGGCCAGGCCCAAGTTCCTCTAGAGTCACTGATCTTTCTCTAGTGTTCTCTACTCAGTCTCCAGACCCTGAGTCTACATGAGGAAAGGTGTCTCAGAGTTGGCCAGGCCCAAGTTCATCTAGCATCACTGATCTTTCTCTAGTGTTCTCTACTCAGTCTCCAGACCCTGAGTCTACAGGAGGCATGATAACAAGGTTGGGGAGGTTGGATGGCCCCCACCTCCCACATTCCGCTCCCTTCTCAAAAGGGAGACACATGCAGGGTGTGATGGGTTTAGCCCCAGACACTCCTAGGTTACAATCAGGCTCATCATTCAATACTCTCGTGACCCTCAGCAAGTCAGCCAACCCCTCTGAGTCCCTGTTTTCTGATCCGCACAACAGAGACCAGACTGTCACCCACTGCCTGGGTTGCTGTGAAGATAAGGTAACGTGGACAACACGTGGTGTGGTGCCTGACATACGGAAAGTGGTAACCGCATGAAGGCTATTACTGGCATCATTATGACTATTTCCAGGTGAACAAATTAAAGGCTCTGGAAAATCTTGTGGTAACAAAAACTGTCAGACTCTACCACGTCATTTCCCAAACACTTTTGATGTCTGGTCTCTCTCCTCTTCAGGAAACGCAGTTAACATCTTCACATACAGGGGCATGAATGTGGCTAGAAACCCACTCTGGGAACGTAGGGCAGGAAGGAGTAGAGGAGTAGGAGGAGGGGTGCGCGCCATGTGGGGAGGTTGGTGAAGGAAGGGATGGCTGCCTAGAGGAAAAGACAAAGTCTCTAAAGATGCAAGTGTCCTGTTTCCACCTGCATGATCTATAATTCTCTTGGGAGGTGAACCATATCTGCCAGGATTGAACGTGGCAAACAGATCACACCGGTTCGCGCCATTCATTTATCTCTGAGGTTTCTCATGCACACCACCCCCTAGTGGTCCCTGCTGTTACTCCACCCGTGTCCAGCCCTGGGAACTCCTGGCATAATGGTTGACAGTGCACCTGGGAAGACACTACCCCCTCAAGCCCAGTGGACTTTCCTTAGCAGCACAAAGCCATGTCTTTTGAAACCTGGTTATTTGCAAAATGAATGTTTGAACCTGACCTATCCCTTAGTCCAGTGCTACATTGGAGCACTGAACTTGGGGAAAATGCCAGCATGGTGCTGTGTACTGTGATATAGTCACTCTGGCTCTGATCAGAAGCAGACCATATGCTTTTGCACAAGCCACTCACATGCTCTGAACACCCATTTCTACCATTTCCAAAGCAGAGGCAATGAAAATCCACACACTGTCGTGTTTGGGCGGGGGGGCGGGAATGTTATGAGATAATACAAGTAATACACAGCAATGGTGACAATGAAGAAAATGCACCTGATTCAACCTTTCTGCCTTTATGTATGAGGGAACCAAGTCCCCTGAGATAAATGAGGTTGCCCGAAGTCACACGGGAAAATCCTATCATACCCAGGACACAGACCCCGTCTTCAAAGAATGGCTTAAAACCTGGACTCAGAATCAGTGGAGATGCTTGTTACAAATGAAAATCCTTTGGACACATTGCAAAGAAGCTGGAACCACTGGATGTGGGACCTCAACATCTTTTCATCATGTTTCTTTCTTTTTTTTTTTTTTTTTTTTTTCATTTTGTAACTGCACCTTCTGGATAATTCTCTATATACTAAAGTGTGGACCTACCTTTCCCAAGACCCAATCCCTAGACGCAGTTTGCCCTACAACACCAATTCCACATGCCAGCATTCTTCCAAACATGAGTATTTTTGGTGTTTGCTGAAATAAAACTGTTTTCTTAATTGAGGGTTTGAGCTGGAGCCCCAGCTGGAAAGTAGGAACATTAGAGGTGACAGTCTTGGATTTGGTGTCCTGCCCTGACACTCATCAGCTGTGGCACAGAAATTTGGTGGCCTAATTACTCAGTATCTCTGGGCCTTAGTTCCCATTGTCACATGGAAAAGATGATATTGCCTTTTCGTCCATCTTTAAGAGGGTTTAAGTGAGATAGTGTCAGTGAAATGGCTGAGAGCGTGTCCAGCACAGAGTAGGTGCTCAGTAAATTCCAGTTCTTTCTTTTTTTTGAAGAATATTGATGCAGCTCAATAAATATTCATCCAAGAGATGCTACAGAAGGCACAAAGCAGTAGAAAACATGTAATTTGGGTTGCAGTTCTGTCAGGGTGCGCACATCTTGGGTAAGGACCCACGGAAAGGCAACCTTAGAACATTACTTCATGAAATGCAGCCTTTTGCAATTTTCTGATTTGGGTTATTGGTTTGCTGGTGAGCTGGAGGGTGCAGAGCAGGTGGAGGATAGGGAGGGGATTTTTTTTTAATAAAAATCAAATCCCACCAGTTCCTAAGTATGGCCTCTTTTAAAAGCACACAGTGAGCACTGGAGTTTTGATGAGCTTTCCTGGGAACCCATAGGGCATGGGGGAAATTCTCTGCTTTGCAGAAAAGGCCGCTGTGGTAAGATTGCAGTAAACATTTTATGCTAGTTTGAGAATATGCCCCTCAGAGGCTAAGCCAGCTAGATCTTATTCATTCCAAACTTCGCTGGCATCTTGCATGGTACCCACGGCAGATAACAGACACTCAGTATGCGTTTTATTAACAAATTATTAAGTGAAGTGAGGCATAGCATTTGCAGGGAATCCTGCAGTCTTTTCTGAAGAGGTGCTGGGACATGGATAAATTAAGCACATGGAAGTCCAGGAGACCTGTGTTCCAGATCCATTGCTGCTTCCACCTAGTTTGGTATCCTTGAGCCCTTCAGTTTCTCTCCTATAGAATGAAAGGTTGGGGGTCATTGATCTCTTTAGCCCTTCTGTCTCTGTAACCACAGATCCCAGGCTTTGCTCTCAGTGGCTTGCCTTGTCACGTGCCCACCTCTGAACAAATTGCTATAGTAAGGGCAATGAAATGGGTTGATTGTAGTCACTGGG